CATCTTAGCTTTATTTTGCTGTATTGAGTGCCAGAGACAAACCTTCTCAAAAGGTAGGGTTACCTTAACTAGAGTTTTAGGGATTTCAACCCATGCTTGGTTGGCCTATTTGTTTTGGGCCTGGGGCAAGACAGCACTTCATGGCAGGTGTGTGCAGCAGGGCAAAACCACACACATTACAATCCATGGAGTGCAAAGGAAGAGATGGGGACCTACAGACCTCCTCAGGGGCATGTCCTCAATAACTTGCAAGGCCCCTCCTCTCACAGGTTTCACAAGCCCCTCTCCCAATAATTCTTGAGATTGGCAACCAAGGCTTTAACACATGAGCCCTCTCCAACTCTCTTTGTGGTGTGTTTGTGTGTGTGTGTGTGTGTGTGTCTCTGTGTGTGAATTATCTAAACAATAGCAAATAAGTGGTATGAAGACAGTAGACACTGATTCAGATTCACAGGCAGTCCTCACTATTAGGTGTGAGGATGGTTCGGTAATTAAATTAAATTAAATTAAATTAAATTAAATTAAAATTTCACTTTGATTTAAACAATGTATTTTCTATCTCCAAAGAGACAGGCTTCTGAATTGAATTATGTCTGAGTCTGGCTAATCATCTGCTCAGAAATAGCTGATGATTGTTGCCTGTGAATCAAAATTCTCACTCTACCACCATCTCAGATCCCACAGCCTAATCATGGCTATCCCTGCAGAGGACCTTATCTACCGCTTGTCTTCTGTGTGAGTTACTCAGCCAAACGCTGGATACTCTTGACCTTTCCTGCCCCTTGGTCTTCACCGATGCTGTCTAAGGCCACTCTTCTCCCCAGTCCATCCCACTCTACTTTTCTATGGCTTGTACCGTGTTGGTGTTTTAATTCTGACTTGACCTTCATGTTCAAAGATGTTAAAGATAGCTGATTATGCCTCGGCTCAGAGACTGTAACAAAATGTCATAGACTAAGTGGCTTAAATCACGGATACTCATTTCTTACAGTGCTGGGGCTGCAAAACCTAAGATGATCTGATAAGTTCTTAGTGAGATTTTTGTCTGCCTTTTCCTTGGGAGATGTGAACAGGCATCTGTTCATCCCAGATAGGGCACTGACACAGAACAAAGAACCAGTTTCAACCAACTCTAGCAGTTATTGAAGTACTTTCACGAGCATTATTGACTCAAAGGCCGCTGAATCACTGAAAAGGCCACCCAACATGGCTGAGGACTCAGAAATGCAGGTTTTTATCCCTGGATCTCCCAGAACAACATGCAGGTGCTTCAGGGAAGTCTTTCTTCACCATGATTATTTGCTGTACTTACTGCTTAGGGATAAATCCCATGTGGGTCCAGTAAGTTACCGTTATTTATAAGTCCTCTATAGCAAAGAACTATTTCCACACAGGAAATTAGCTACACAGCAGGGTTCTTTTCCTGGCTTGTCAGAAGGCTCCTTCCTTATCATTGTCTCCTTTTATGGCCAAGAGAAAGAAAAAGGGTAGTGAGGAGAGTGGGGCAAGGGGAAGGGAAAGCACTCTTCTTTGGAGAACACAAATTTCATCACTCCCAAGACCTCATCTGCCCAATGGCCTCTTAAGGGTCCCATCTCCAGACACCCTCATGTTGTGGGTTAGGACAAGAAACATCCACATTTCAAGTGAAGGTTTCCATTTATTGTGTTTATAATGTGCCAGGCTGTGTTTTCAGTACCACTCACACAGATCAGCTCATTTGAGCCACATCATAGTTTGAGAGGTAAATGTTAGGATTATACATCATATAGAAAAGGAGGGCTGGGGCCTAGGAGCCTTGTACTGAAGTCACACAAGTACTAGGTGTCAGAGCTGTGCTGCAATCCATCTTTGGCAGATGGCATCAATGTTCTTATCCATGGATCTAAATAACACTAACAAATATCTTCCTCAATGTTCAGTAATGCTGAAATTTGAATGGTTGAAGCCAAAGCCTCTTCCTCCTGTGCTAAAGATCTCTCACGACAGCCCTGTGCTCAGGGCAAGAGTTTGCTATGGGAGCCTCTGTGGGTGGACACGATCTGTGACCAGTGTCCTTGCTGTCAGGAAATTCCTCAGAGGTTCTTCTCAGGCTGTGTTGGTTGGTTTGACTTAATGGCTTTGTCTTGATTCTTTGAAAGTCTCACTTCTCTGTCCCTTTAATTCCTGGTGTGAAGTGGTCAATTCGTGAACTGAGTCAAAATACAGGAGTCCCAGCCTACGATTCCTGGCATGCTAGAAATATTACCCACTATGGAAACACCACTCTCTCTACAGCCAAGGCCAGAGGTTGCCTGAGAACCTTCCCTTCCACCATCTGGCCACGTCTTTCCACACTGCCATAGTCACCTGACCAAATTAACAGAAAGCTTCCAGAACATGAGCAAAAATGTGACTTTTTCAGCCAATACCTAACTTCTGTCTTTTCTGAAACCCCCCAGTGCTAAGATAGTTTCACCAGGTCATTAAGCTGGAACATGTCCACTCTACCAAATCAAAAGCTGATGTTACATGGTCCAGCAATTTGTAAATATTTTTCTTCTACCTGAAATGTTATCATGCAGCCTACTTTCAGCAGGTTTCACTATTTTTTCACTGTGAGGTAGCTTTATGGTGCAGTACCACAGCCAGAAGAACACACACATGTATTGAAAAATATTACCAAATCATTGCATGCAAATAAGGAAGGTGTTTGCTGCAACACACTATTGAACAAATTACCAAAGATGGCTGCCCTTGGGAGGCAGCAGCATTTGGCTGCTGATGATCCTCATTATAAAAGAACATTAAATTTCAGGGCTGCTAGATTGCTACAATTAGGTAACTTGCTAAATAAGTGAATTATTTTATCAGTACAGATTTTATTGCATTTTCTCGGTCTAACACAGGTGGGTACAGAAATACAAAACAATTTAACATCATATCTGGCATCTGAAGATACACATAAATTTAAGTTAAATATCTTATAGAAATATTAAAAATGTATTCTTTCTCATTTTCCTCCCCCATCCCTCCCTCTCTTTGGGGATCTAATCTGGGATCCTGTGTACCATATACTACTGAGTTATATTTCCATGTCTAGCTTTCTTAAGCATATTTGTATTAATTCATCTCCTCCCTCCATCAAATCCCCCACCTATAATTTTATGTAATTCTTTCTTGACTCCTCTAAGTTAAGGTGGCTGTGCTGAAGTTACCTTCAGTGGGTATCCTGCACATGCAGTCTAAGCTACTGAGTCAGGTCACTTTTCCCAGTAAAAACTCTACTCTCCACCCTAAAGAGACAAGAGTCCAAGTTTGGCATTGTTGAAGGGTTTTTTTTTTTTCCTTCATTTAAAACAATCTGCTTCTCAGAGCATCTGTTTGATAAGGCAAGCACTCAGCTAGATATGTCAAGTACTCTGTTTCTGGCTGATAAAATAAAAGGGAATATTCTTGAAAAAAATATTGGAAAACTTGCAGGAGTCAGGAGGTGATCCTTTGTCATTTTTTAGGGCAAGAAAAGAGACAGCTGTGACCACTGGGGAGAACAATCAGGGGTGCACCACAGACTTTGGTTCTTGAAATCACCCAAGCCAGTTTACTCAGTCATCTACTCAAGGTTCTAGTTCCTTCAGAGAAAGTTCACTTGCTCTAAGCTTAAGCTAGGTGCAGGCTCCTAGACCTGGTGATTGACAGGAAACTAAAGATGCACAAAATCTGTGAGGAGTGTTTCTCCCCCTCCCCTTCCCTTCTCTCGCTCTAGCCCCACTTGCTCCGACCCCGCTCACTCCAGCTGAAAGGTTTTTAAAATTTATTTATCATATAAGTACACTGTAGCTGTCTTCAGACATCCATATGAGGGCATCAGACCTCATTACAGATGGTTGTGAGCCACCATGTGGTTGCCGGGATTTGAACTCATAACCTCTGGAAGAACAGTCAGTGCTCTTAACCGCTGAGCCATCTCTCCAGCCCCGAGGAGTGTTTCTAAAGAAAAAGTAGGAGAGCTTTACTGAACCTGGGAAAATGGGTCAATGAACAGATGTCTGCTTCCAGGAAAATTGATCTCAAGACACACTAGGTGTAAATGAGAGCTTGAAGGTAGACAGTAAGTGGTTAGACTATTCCCTAAATTCACTTTTCAAGTTATTTCTCCGGTTGGAAAATCTCAGCAGCTCCCATGCAGCAACAGTTGTGAAAACTTGTTTCTTGATTACACAAAGGATGTATTCAACTTACCACACACACACACACACACACACACACACACACACACACACACTAACATGAATGCACATGGAATTGTCATCCAACTTCAACAACTGGCTTTGTGTAATCTTGTTTCTTTTGGATGCATTTTCGAGCACCTTAATGGGTAGTTTATAAAGCTGGTTTTATAAAATCTCACAAAATTTCATGAAACTATTTTTAGAAATATAAATCTAACCGTCAATTTATTAGTCTTATACAAACAGACAGACAGTCAGACAGAAAACCAAGAAAAGATAGATTTGTGCAAGAACAATATATTATTGATTAGGAAATAGAATTCATTTTTGAATTAGCCAAAGTTTTATCTTAATGGTGGAATATTCACTCAATGTGAACAAGGCCCTTGCACTGAAAATGCCAGAAACAACCATAATTATCATTCAGGCCTATTGTGATGGCTCATCTGTGTAATCTTAGCACTTAGGAGACTTAGGCATGAGGCTCGCTGTGAGTTTAAGGCCACAGTGAGCTACACAAGGAGATCCAGGACAACCTAGGCTGCAGTGAGAGACTTGCATGCCCCAAAACACCAAAAAACATTTTATTATAAAGATGTTTACTGGCCTAAGCTTGAGGAATCTACTCCTTAACAAGTCTGTTTTCAGGTTACCTCTGCCAAATGTGTCGTCTGATCCTTGGGGTCTTGGAATGAGTCAGTAGTTCTTTTGACTGTCACCTCTGCATGTCAGCATGACCTTACTCGCAATGTGTGCCGCTACAGATGAATGTGCTCTGATCTCTTGCAGTTGAGAGATGCATGAGTGTAATGCAGTCCGGGACACAGATGATCAAACTGAAGCGTGGCACCAAAGGGCTTGTTCGCCTCTTTTACCTGGATGAGCACCGGACCCGCCTCCGATGGCGACCCTCTCGGAAGAGTGAGAAGGCAAAAAGTAAAATCAACCTTTGAGTTCTTTGCTTTGATTGACGGAATAGTCTTCCGTGGGAATATATGGGAAGTGCTGAGCATGTTCTATGGAAGCTCCATGTTTGCAGAAGTGTCATACTTTTACAAGTTTTGGTGTCATTTGATTATAAAACAATACATGGCATTGAGTCTTTGGGGATGGAAATACATGAAGGCTTTCTTGTCCATAAGTGCTAAAGTGCTAACATTTCCCCTATTTTGGAGATGCATTGTTTTTATATTTAATTGGGGTATCAGGTTTCACAGCTTGAGACTTTTCCTTTAGAATGTAGGGGGTATTATAAATTCAAATAGACATAAAGGCTATTGGTATTCTCCGAGCAATTAATTGATTCATTATTTAATGCCAGTGTTTAAATGGTTAAAGTTTCTTTCTCCCTTCTGTACTACCTGTATTTTCAGGATTACTCTAGAGAAACAGAGCTAGTAGGTGGATAGCTACTTGGGTAGACACAGGCAGATGAGATTTATTAGGGAAAATGACTTGTGTTTATAGAGGCTAAGCACGGCCATGGTATATGTGCCCACTGCCAGCAGGAGAACGACAGAAATCAGTGGCATGGCTCAGCCCAAGTCTCAGGGCCTGCAGCCAGGAGAGAAGATCACGTGACTCTCAGTTCTAGGGTAAAAGCCTGAGCCCCCTCAGTGCCAGACATTGAAATCTCATAGTTCAAGGGCTCAAGACCACGAAGGTTTGATATCATTGGGCAAAAGGAGATGAGTGTCCAAGCTCCAGGAGGAAGAAAATTGACTTTTCTCTTCTGCTCTTTTGTTCTATCTGAGCTGTTCCTGATTGGATGCTGTACATTCCCATCGGGTGACTGTGACTTTTCCTTATTCAGGCCATTTTTTCAAACACCAGTTTCTTTCATACTCTTAGATGTTGTGTCTGGTATCTGGGTATCTCTTTATCAAGCATGCTGGCACTGTAACTATCACACACACCTGGATTTAGCACCAAGTTCATGTTGAATCCCCTGTAGAACTCTCTGCTCATTCCTTCCTGTTTGACATTAGCATCATTGGTTGAGAATCTCTCAGCTCTTCTAGTGGCCTGTCACAGAGCCTTCTGACCCACCTTCATTTTACTAGCCTCTTCTGTCTTCATCAGAAACTGAAGACTTTATTTAAAGTATAGTCTTACATTATCCTCTTTAACAAGAAACTCAGGACCAAGCATGGGACAGTTTGTTTCTGATTCTGTTCCCTGCAGTGCTCTCGGCTCTGTCCCTGGTGTTGACATTGCAGTCCATAGTAACATGAGCTCAGCTACTCTGAGCCACACAATAAAAATGTAGAAGTAGATAGAGACGACTCCTCCTCCTCCCCCCTCCTCCTCCTCCTCCTCCTTCTCTCTCTCTCTCTCTCTCTCTCCTCTTCCTCCTCCTCTACCTCCTCTTCTTCCTCCTTCACCTACTCCTCTTCCTCCTCCACCTCCTTCTTTCCTCCTCCCTCTCTCTGTCCTTCTCTCTCTGCCCCCCTCCCTCCACCTCTCCTTTCCTCTCTCTCTCCTCATCTCCCTTCTCCTACTCTTCCTCTTTCTCCTCTTCCTCTTCCTCCCAATAGTTTAGATTTGCCAGGACTTTTCCTGGGGCTGAACAACAGCTAATTTCCCAGTGAGTCATGCAGGGAATGACTTGATACCAAAGTACAACTGGGACGTAGACCTTGAAACAGAGTGAGGGGTAGGGTAGAGGGGCAGTCAGTAGAATATGGAACCAGTACTTCTCTAGTGTAATCCTTAAGTGTCTTTCAGCTAGACTTCCTAAATAATGTGATTCTCTGCCTGTTATCCCATCCTCTCTGGGACCTAGCCTTTGTCTATCTCTTCATCACCATCTCCCAGTCTTCTGTCTCCTGAACATTTTTGCCAGAATCCTTGTAGTGGGCTCAGTGTTTCAGTCTATCCCACTCCCTCCTCCCGGGAGCCACCTTGTTCCTTCCCACTTTTCCATGCCTAACTGTCCCGATATTTCCCCTGTGAGTCACATTAATCTGTGCTACTTCCTATTTATTTTCTAACCATCTTAAATATTTTTGCAAACAACATTCAATTCCAAGTTTTGTGCACATTTCCATATATGAATATGTAAATGAAGTTGAAATATTTATTAGCCACCTTTTTCTACCAGTCTTCTTGCCCTGATAGGCACTTCTGTTTCGTTTCTATAAATCCCAGCATGTTATAAGAATGATTGCCTTGGGAAGGCATTGTCAAGAATGCCCCAAAAGGTAAATTGTTAGGAAATTTCCTTTGAGACCAGTTTTGCACATTGGGCCTTAAAAAGCACTACTTTCAGACAATGACTTTTTTCTTCCTTAAAATGTTTTAAATAATTCTACATTTTTTGTTCTTAATTATTTCTGATAAATGTCTTAACCTGTCATATAACTGCCTGTCTCACTTCCCCTATAGTACTTATTGACTCCATCTACAAAGTCACCGAGGGCAGGCAGTCTGAAATATTCCATAGACAGGCTGAGGGGAACTTTGACCCCAGCTGCTGTTTCACCATCTACCATGGCAACCACATGGAGTCCCTGGACCTCATTACCTCCAACCCAGAGGAGGCACGCACCTGGATCACGGGCCTCAAGTATCTGATGGCTGGCATCAGTGATGAAGACTCCCTTGCCAAGAGGCAGAGGACTCATGACCAATATCCTTTCTTGAACTTCATGCTTGAGTTACTTGTGTGTGCCCAAGTGGGGACGTATGTATGTGTATGTGAGTGTTTATGTCTGTGTGTGTGCCCATGTGTGAGTTTGAGTGTGAGTGTGAGTGCGCACACACATGTGTACTGGTACATGTGTGATGAATAGAAAGTACTTGGCTTCTTCCCATAATTGCAAGGTCTGAAGCATTTCTCTCTGCTGTCTGATTTTCTGTCTCTTAAACTATCCTCTGTCCTTTTTGCTCTCATTCCCAGGGTGTGAGTAAGTAAAATCATGGAGACATAAACATGTGTGAACACAGGAGCAGAATTCTGAAGAAACTGAATGTAGTTCTATAGAAAGAAAAGTCCCTATAGGACATGATTGCATTTTTATAGTGGGACTCTAATTTGAGTTATAAGAAATCCTGCCATGACATAAATTTGATTAATTTAACAAATACTTTGGGGTTCTAATTATGTCATGCACATCAAGCATCTCTCAGTTTTTTTCTTCTTTTACTTACAGCCTGGTCACCAAATGGTTAGCACTCCAGAAGAAGGGATTTCACTATATAGACTTATGATCCAACCCACTTTCTTTTTAAATGTAAACACTATATTTTGTTTATTTACTGTTTGAAAATTTCATACATGAGCATGTGTTTTGATTAAATCTTTCACCACCACCACCTCCATACCACTACCAGCAACCACCACTACCATCACCACCATCACCTCCACCCACCACCACCACCATGACAACCATTACCACCACTACCACCACCATCACCATGACTACCATTACCAGTTACCACCACCACCACCTCCACCACCACTACCACCAACTATCACCACCCACTACCATAATCATCATTATATGCAGAAGTGAGGAGAAATTCATACTCATTAATTAAATAGATCTACCCATAGGCTATTGTTGAAATAAAGGGACCCATGAACCCAGGAAGGGATTTCAAAAGTAAGAAGGATGAGCTGATGAGCTACAGATTTTCTTCTCCATTCATAGCAACAGACAAGTACAAGTGGGATTCTTGAATGAGTTAAAAACATCTCTGCCTTGGTCTGTTGGTTTGGCATTTGACAAAACAAGAAACCAGAAAAGCCCAAATGAGCAACATTACTGAACAGTGGGAACACTTTCTAGTACAGGCATCAAAAGCCATGTTGATGGTGCTCGTGGTAAAGATGTGATTTCTCTCAAGTGAGAGCCCTAAGATGGGCAGTTCCAGGACTGAGTTAATTCAGTGGTTCAGTGATGTCATCAATGACCCAGCTCTGCATCCCTAACATGTAGGTTTGATCCTTCAGCTGGCTGGCAACCTCTTGGTCAAAGGAGGTATAGCTTCTTCAGGTGGCAGTGCCAAACACAGTCCTGCCCAGGGGAACAGTGCTTTACCTTACAAACAAGAAAGAGAAGAAAAGGGAAGAGAGCTGTCTAGACCCCTCTCCAGAGATAATGCTCATCACTGGGCAGAATTCCTATTGTACTCCATTCCTGCTTGAAGACCGCCATGATGCGGTAACATGAAGTGTATATTTTGATATTTGTCGTATTAGAAACTAAATCAGGGCAGTAACAAAAAGTCAATTTGGGTAAAGTCATAGTAATTTCTACTACATTTAATGTCATGTAGAATGACTATATTTTTCAAAGCAAAGCAGCAAAATCTCCAAGGATCCTGCTGGTTCATTACCTTACACGTCTCTACAGTGTCAGATGCAAGAGAGCACATGAATTTCCATGTCCATTTTTTACTTAGTTTAATAAATGAAAGAAAAGCCAGCCTCACATAGATAGGATGGGAAGCTTGGAAACTTTCATCAGACACTCAGCAATGCACTGTAAGGATGGTTGGATTACATCAACAGTCACCTCTCTTCCCTTAGTGGCTGACCACCACTAGACCATATGATTCCTGGATTCATTAATATAGTCAAAGCTCTATGTGAAACAAGTAAAAGCAAGAATCACAGGGGAAACAATCAATTCCCGAAGCTGCGATCTACCTCATGTTGATTAGGACCCACTTGAGTATCTCAGAGTCTTTACCCTGTAGGTCAGAGTCATAATCCTTGACATAGAAGGGTAAGAGGTGGGCACAGATCGCAGAATCCTCTTCTTGCTTTATTGCTCAGTGGGGTTTTGTTGTTTCTGTTTTGCTTTTGTTTTCTGTTTTCTTCATACTTGAAACATTTATGTTTTTTGTCGCTTGAAAGTGTTTATATTTGAATTAGTCAATGTGGTGCCTAAGAAATTTTGTATTCTGAAAACAGGCCATCTGGAAAGGAAGCACAGCTGAACTGCCCAGGAGAACAATTTTATAAGACACTTAGAGACCATTGGTGTTGGGCCAGTATGGCAAGGAAGAGTAAAGAAGAAATTAATAGATAGTAAGAAAAACAGTGAAAGTGGGTTGAGCCAGGGAACCGCTTTTCCAAATTGACAAAGTTTTAAGTAGTATAACAATATATTGGTGTTACAATTTTTAACAATTTTCTTGTGTGTGTGGGTGCACACATAACTGCATGTTCACACTAAGGTGAACATACGTAAGCAGTAAGAGGAAAACATGAAGAAGTTTGAGTTACTTCTCTCCTACCATGTGGATACCAGGGGTTGGATTGACGCCATCAAGGGTTGGCCGCAAGGACTTTTACCCATTGAGTCATATCTCCAGTTCCAGATTGACATTCTTGATTGGACATATGTTTAATTAATCAAGGAGAAAGAATGTAGGATGTTCATGATTAGACGTCACTTAGGACTTAAATGTTCATGAATAAATAATTATAATGAATCTTAACTGGCTAAAGGAGAAAATTCCATCCACCTAAGGTGTGAACGGAGTTATTTTTGCAGCACGATGGGCCAGGTACTGTGTAGGTTTGGGTGGATTCTACCCTTTTGTATTATAATCTGTGTCTATTGGATGACAGTGCTGGTAATTCTGGTGCATGCTCTCTGGAGGGTGTGGAGAGCATCTTTGGAGACCATGGAGAGTAAAGGCAGTGATGTACTCACACAGTGAGCACTTCGCTAACATGCTGCTTGCTACTGGAGTCCTGAAGGCTGGCAGATTTCTTCCTGCTTCCTTTGGGTAGATGAACTCTGAAATCTCAGCATCCTACCTCATGCTGAGATAACGGTGCTGGTGTATAACCTTAGCATTTTCTCCATCAGCCTCTTCCCTGTTTCTTCCTCCACTCACCCTGTCCTGACACTATGAAGGTAGTTGTCACCTGAAGGTGACCCCTTACATGTGCTGTGAGTTGGAATGCAGGGGAAATGCAGCTTACCTCCTGAGTTTGTCTAGGATCATGAGCTAAGAATCAGTTGAAGTGGTTGAAAACGTTAAAAGAATGATGACATTTTTTTAAAATTTAAAATATGAGTTTCATTGTGCACTAGCGGAGTGTTACTGGAACAGAGCTGTGCACATTGCTGCGGGTCTTGTTCTTCAGGCTGCTGCTCCATGAGTGGAGAAGCTGTGCCTGAGATGAGTTGTCTGCAAAGAGCAAAAGGTCGAGTGTCAGCCATTTCACAGAAAGTCTGCCCACTGAAACCGTGATGTGAAAGAATATGATGCAATTGCATTCTCCTATGGTTTTGTTATAGAAAACACCACCCATCGAATTTATTTCCTTTTACTTCTGATTTTTCCATTGTAGAGTGATTTGTTTTTCGTAATATTGTGTGTGATAATGAATCATCAGTTCGAGGGTTTTCTGGGCACTGATATCTTGGTTATAAAGCACAGCTTTATACAGGAACCTTTCAGCTGCTTTTCTACATGCACTCTTACTGGAAATAATGAGTTTTCCTTTTGTAGAATGTTGAAGTTACGGGTGAACTCAGGGTTATCTGGTTGTGTTTCCTGATGCTGGAGAGGAAGAAATGGGCAGTGAGAGGTGATGCCGGTGATTCACTGTAACGGGGCGGTGTCATCATTAGAATCAGGACCAGTGTTTATTTCTTGTTCTGATTCCATTTTGTTTGTGCTTTGTCAACCCCTGCTCTCTAAAGCAGCTGTTAAGGCCAGGTATGGATAAGTCTGAAGCCTTGAAGCCCCGCCCCCTCCCTAATGAGCTTATATCTGCATCATGTGCTCATGCTGAGGATTGGCTGTCTCTTGTCTCTTCCTAAGAGTTGGTAGATCACTGTAGAACAAAAAGATGGAAATACTGCTGTTGTCAGATTCATTTACTCCTTTGTCATTTGGCTGCATATGTTTTGTTCAGAGGACTGTCCTATCAAAAAAGATGGAACTCCACGGAGAAGATGTGTATACTGTGTGTACAACAGAAAACAAAAAATTCCTTACTAGCAACTGATCATCCTTTGAATTCTTTGTGTATTTTTTGTGTAGCTCTGTTCTCCCTTTAGCCTCTAGGTAAAACATGCAGTGAACTCCTGACTGAGCTTTATAAGAAACAAGGGAAAGACCTGGGCTTTTGTGTTGATTTTGTTGTAAAATATCTCTGGAAGGAAAGCAGATTTAACCTTTCTGGCTGTTGTTACTTTGTAAGTTTGCAGTGACTAGCATGTATACATTGTGGAAGTTAATGGATTCCTTGTGCTCATTCATTTGTTCATTCATTTGTTAATTCATTCATTCATTCATTCACAAAATATGATTTTTATTTTCTAAGGCATTAACCTTCCTCAGCCATAACTTGATTGACATAGGAAATGTAAGTGTGGTTTATTATCACTGGAAAGTTGGTTGATAGTTTGAACTAGGGAGAAAAACATCTTTTAGGACTGTTGCCTGCTTGCTCTGGTGACATTATCCGCTGGCCCTCTGCTGAGAGTCACTTCTGTTCTCCACTTATTGTTTTCTTTTTAAATTGTAATTTCTATTTACTTTGTGTGTGGGGGGGATGTTTTTTTTCTACATGTGTGTCTGTGCGTATTATCTATGGAGGCTAGAAGAGGGCATTGGAGTCCCTGGAACTGGAGTTAGGATGGATGTGAGCCTCTGTGTGGGTGTTGGGAATTGAACTCAGGTTGGTTGGAAGAGCAGCCAGCGTTCTTAACTGCTGAGCCTTCTCTCCAGCCTTGCCGTTTCTTGATTTTTAAATCTATGCTTTTCTCTGACTTTGATTTCTTTCTTTCTTTCTTTCTTTCTTTCTTTCTTTCTTTCTTTCTTTCTTTCCTTCCTTCCTTCCTTCCTTCCTTCCTTCCTTCCTTCCTTCCTTTCTTTTTTCTTGCTTTCCTCTCCAAAACTCTTTAAACAATGAAGCTCAATTTTATATTCTATGCATACATAGCCTTAAAAATATGTTGTATTAAAAGAAGCTATATGTTAGTTGGGATTCTTGAATGCATCCACTTAATTTTCTCATTCATTTAAGGATCCTGGAAGTCTCCATGCACATTGGTATAACTCCTTTGTATCTAAGCTCAGCTTTATCTTACCACTTCTACGTCCCACGTCTGAGCCTAGTGACTGTGAGTAGAAGTGTATAGTTGTTGGGGGAGCACTACCACAGCTACTGCTAAAGAAGGGATGCAAGCTAGAAGTAGGCCTCATGTGTAGGCAACAGAGATGCTAGATTAGGTTGTAAGAGTGACTGAAAACTTTCTCTTTTTTCCTAACAATAGTGAGGTTCAATGAGATGGTCTAGTTTTTTAAGAGTAAGGCACAGAAAAGAGAGCTGAGATCCTGAGGATAAAAACAAAAGCATGCTAAGGGAGAGGGCATAGGAGAAGGCAGAGCCTAGGTTTGTTAACTTTGAAATTTCCTCATGGTGAGACCCATGAGCCAAGAGGTAGAGCATTAAGACCAGGCTGCTCCTGCTTGGGCTGTGTTTAACACACGCGGCAAAGGTGAGGAAGACCTCTAACTCTTTGTGTAGGAACAAAATTTGGGTTAACCTGACTGCATCATGGAGATGAGGTCAGGACGTGAGAAAAAGGATGGTATATGAAGTCGTGTAGAAATACTTGTGATGTCAGTGGCAGTGAGGGTGCTGTCCTCTATAGGGAAAGTGGAACCAGTTGACAGCCTCCTTACAGCTGGTGAAACCCAGTGCTTTTCAGTGGTAGTTTGAACAGTTAATTTGGATTAGACTAGCTAGAGTGTTTGAATTAAACCTTTCAGCATTCTAGTAAAACTCCTGTTTCGTGACACGTGCACCACCCATGAGAACTCACACCCCCATCTCCTCTCTCCTGTTGTCATCGCTGGGCTCTTGTCACAGCCTCTGCACTCCAGGGTCTCCTCAAAAGCATGTCTTCTGTTTCCACATTGCTGGCAGTGTCCTTGTGACATTCGACGAGTGAGCAGTACTGACTCTGAGGAAAACTTTTCTTTGACCTTTCTGCACATGGGTGAAGCAGACCTTTGAGGAGGCTGATAAGAACGGTGATGGCTTATTGAATATTGAAGAGATTCACCAGCTGATGCATAAACTAAATGTCAATCTGCCCCGCAGAAAAGTCAGGCAAATGTTTCAGGTACGTGTTCACAATTGTCTTGGCCTTTTGTAAAACACGGCAATTACTGATGTACTTAGGCACATTAAAACCTACTGTTTTGCTGGGAGCTGGTATTACCTGCTCTTTACTGTTTTATTTTTCTTTGATAAAGAGAGGCATTATGTTTCTTCAGGGGAAAATTCTTCATAAACTTAAGTACCCGGTTTTATCCCCTAGAGTACTTTGTTGTTGCAGTTTTCAAGGCAATTAATTATAAGCATTTTTTTCCTGACACTTGAACAGTGACGTGAACTTGATCAAGCCCTTTTGAGAGGATGAAAATACTTCATTTTCCTACCACAGGGGCTGTTGTGAGGGTTAGAATAAAAACCTAATAACAGGAGAAAACCAGCGCTGTCAGAAACCCCAAGAACTCTCTTGTTTCAGCAGAGTTAAAGACTGAAAGCCCATGAGGCCCGGAAGTGCTGCTGTCAGAGTTGAGCCCTCTCTTGGTGTGTGAGACAAGATGCTCCTTCCTCTAGGTCCTTGAGGGCAGGGCTGGGCTGGAGCTTACACTGCACCTTCTAACTGGGTTGGGCTTGGAAGTGAGCAGTGTTGGCCAAAGGCCAGATTACACTGTTATTAACGAGCAAGAGATAAATTAAAAAATGGCATTTATTTGGAGATAAATCATACAATATGCACAATCCATGTTTTTAAAGACTTTTCATTCTATGTGACTAGGTCAATAACTTAGGCACATAATAAGCATAAAAAGAAAATTGTTTTATGTTTGGGGCTTTTTTTTCCCTAACCACTTGCTGCTCTGCTCTCATTATGGCAAGGACATAAACACAGGGACCGTGTGTTCCAATAGTAACTGGAAGACAGAGGCTGGACCCCTTTCTTAAAGTGGTCCTGCTTAGAGCATACTCCTGTTAGGGATGGTGTGTACTGGGGTATTTGGTTCCATTGCACTGAAGAACAGTATGAGGTAAAAGGAGAAAAAGAAAGGAGTGAAATACAGGGAAAACTAGGAAATGTTTATGTCCTATGTCTTATGGGCTTAGAGTAGATTATTTTGATGAGTTCATTTATGTAATAGTTATGGTTTTAAATTAGCATCTATTATAGGTCTCATTATGACATTTTCATACATACTTTGGTTGGTTGATCCTCTTCTCTTCCCTTACTCCATCACACACACCCTGGCACCCCTAAGTAGCTTCTTTTCTACTTCCATATCAATCTGTATGTGCTGAGACAGGGTTATACGATGTGGCCCAGGCTGGCTCAGAATTGGCAGAGCTCCTTCTGCCCCAGCCCCCTGTTCTCAGATAGCAAGACTACTGTATATGTGGTGAGACAATGCTCTTTGATTTTAAACTGTGTTACGCTAGAAGTCATGGGACAAGTATGCCACTATGTGTGAGGTAAGCCTGCACAGGTCCTGAGTCTAGCAAGGATCTGCAAAGAAAAGCTTGTAGTGGGAACAAAAGCTTCAGAAGTTGCCATGCAAATTAAGTACGCCCATGTGAAATCCTTGAACCCAGAAGTATTAAGACTTTATTTGTCAGGATTTGGGATATTTTTAACACATACAAGTGGAAATCTTAAATAAATCTGTTAAACAGGAGTAAACACACACACACACACACACACACACACACACACACATTTAAAGACAGGGTCTCAGTACATAGCTCTGGCTGGCCTAGAACACATTTAGACTAGATTAATCGTGAACTTACATAGAGTTGCCTGCCTCTGCATCCTGAATGGTGGGATAATGGCATCATGCCTGGCAGGATTAAACAGGTTGATTTACAGTTGTAACAGTATAGTGAGTATTATACTCAATTTCTTAGATACAAAGACTCTTCATTATAGGCCCCATATATCAAAACCAGTACACACTCTCATTTAAAACAAGAAGCAACCACCAGCATCATATAGATGCTATACAGGGTTTAAGTACGTTTTTTTGTGGACTTAACCTAAAGTTAGTGTTAAGCAAAACTTTCTGTAAAACTTTGAAATGCCTCACACTAATCTGAATGTTACCTTTGCTCAGAGGCCATTCTAGTTTTCTATACTGTTCCAATTTTAGCCTATGAGCCACTGATGCAAGCATGAGCAATAAGAAAAATTTTCCATAAGCATTTCAACTTTTACGGCTATATTTAAGTCAACTTAACAGCTGAGTGTTTTTTCCAAAACCCAAAACTTCAAAATGTCACTCCTTTCCTGTCAGTCTTTGTTTGGTTATGATTGTGTGCACTTTGGATGAAGGTGATCAGATAAATGGTTTGCTTGTTCATTATGCCTCCCTGGCACTTTAATAATTAATTCTGCCTATCTCACGATCCACTGTGAACAGCTCTTGTGCAGTAATTATTAGGCACAAATAATTTAAAGTAAGCATCTATCTGTATGAGCTGTTCTGTTCAGATTTCCTTCGGGAGGAAAGCTGGACGGTACCACAGCTTCCATGGTTGTAAGAGCCCAAAGCCCGAGGCCACCTGTGAGGCATCAGAGAGATTGTTGTAGGGGAAGAATGACATCTCCTAAGATGTTACAGTTCTGAAGTGAATGAGAGACAAGTGTTTATGCTGTGCATTAAAGCACCCCTCCGTGTCCCTCATCTGTTCTTCTCAGGTTATCTTTTTGACTCGTTTCCTCAAAGATCAGCTGTTGATCTCCTCACTTACTTTCAAAGTTAGGCTTTCAGATTTTGTTTATAGTTTCCTTTGGCTCAACTCTTTTTTAGCTTTGTAGCTGAATGGCTAGTTTTGTTGTTGTTATTGTGTTTTGTTTTATCTCTGAGACAAGCTTTCTTATACAGTCCAGCAGGTCTCCAGCTAGCCATCCTCCTGCCCACTGCCGGCCAGACTTCGTTTCCTAACAATATTTTCTAACACATTTGGCTTCATGTTTTGCTTTAAAGGTCTAACTGTATTCCTGATAATTTACTGCTTGCTTGTTTGTAAATTTTATTCTGAAATTCTGGGATTGAAAGCAGGAATGTCATACACATGTAAGCATTTTTATCTTTTAAAATTTGTGTTTTGCCTGCATGCATGTAAGGGCACCATGTCTATGCAGTCCTGAAGGAAGCCAGAGAGGGCATTGCATCCCCTGGACCTGGAGTTGCAAATGGTTGTGACCCGCCACGCTGTGTTGGTAACTGCTGAGCCACCTCTCCAGCCACAGTGTCGTAGGAACTTGAATCAGAGTTGATCACTTTGATGTTTTTACTCTTCTGCTTTAGAAGCATTATTTCAGTGTTCTGCCTCAAAGATTTTTCTGTTAATTTATATATGTATTATAGCCAGAGAAATTGGTTTGTATAAAGTTGACTATAATTTGTTGAAAATTTTTTCATTGACTATAACTTTTATATTGTTCCATGTGTGCTTAAAAATGTATTTTTGTGATTTAAGTGTTGGCCCTTCCTTCTACAGTGAATGTTACTTTCTTGTTCTCAATTCACCTTTCTCCCCTATACATTGCTCAGGAAGCGGACACAGATGAGAATCAGGGAACCTTGACATTTGAAGAGTTCTGTGTTTTTTACAAAATGATGTCATTGAGACGAGACCTCTATTTGCTGCTCTTGAGCTACAGTGACAAGAAAGACCACCTGACTGTGGAGGAGCTGGCTCAGTTTTTGAAGGTGGAACAAAAGGTATTGTTAGACTATGGTGTGGGTTGTCTGCTCAGAAAAACTTGAGAGATGTGGATATCTTTTGGGTACTGACTGCAGTTATATGTTAAATCAGAATTCACTGATAAATAGCCAAAATTATCAAAAGTCATACCAGTGAACATACATTTACAACATCTGTCCAGCAGCTTTTAAGGAAAGTGGCGAACCAAAACTTAGCATGTATAGCTTTATCTTCTCTATGTTGGATATGGGTATGTCCATTTTCCTACAAAGGAATGAAAGTGAACTCATATTTCATTTTAGATACACTAGTAATGTTCCTTTATACTGGAAAGTACTAGTAATGATATAAATTTAAACTTTGTATTGCTTTATGCTAGTATAAGTTGATATTAGCAAAATATAAATTGATATAAAACTCACAGTATAGTTGGTTTTTCTACACTATAACAGAATTCTTAGATCACACTATGGACACTGATGATTCACACAGGAAACTGGCATCAAATCATGTATAAAGGCTAGTAAATTAGGCTAGGCCTTGCCTAAAGTAGAATTATTAAATTTACTTAAAGGAAAACATTAAATTTTAGTATAAAATAGGCTTTTTAAAATAAACAAGTATGTTTTTTTTATAGTGCTGTCTTACAATGCTTCAAACTCCATTCCTCAGTACAGAGGAGAAATAAGGGGCTTTATGTATAAGTCTCAAACACAGATGGCCTCCCATATATATGACATTCCAAGTTAACTCATTCCCTGTATGGTCACAACGTACATTTCCAAGGCATTGTGCTAAGTTTTGAGAATGTGCAAAGTATACCTTTAGGAATCTCAAAATAAAGAGGTATTTCTTTATATTTTATAATTTTCAGAGTCTATAATAGACAGAGCGCTAAGAAGTAAAGCAACATAGTTTGTTTTGACCTTGTTGAGGATTCTCATGTGGTTGAGGGTGCCTGGAACTCCTGCTTACACTCCCCCCCCAACACACACACACACACACACACACACACACACACACACACACTCTTGTTTCTCAGCTCTGGGAGCATAGATATGCTCCACACATACACAACAAAGCAATGTACTTTTTTTAAGGTTTTCCTTTTTAGGCTTATAAACTTATGAATTAAGAAAAAATATGCTGTTGTATTCTTGAATTGTTGCTTCCTTTAAAATCTCTCTGAGGGACTGGAGAGATGAATCTGTGGTTAAGAACATGTCTGCCTTTCCAAAGGAACTAAGCTTGATTCTCAGGACCCACACTGGTGGCTCACACCATCTGTAACTACAGCCCTAGGGATACGACGCCTGTGGCATCCATGGGCTCCACCACACACATGCACATAGCACACATGCATAAAAGTATAATAGAATATGCCTGAGTAGGGGGCTGGAGAGGATGCTTAGCTGTTAAGAGAGTACCTTGCTGTTACAGAGGAACTGAGTTCAGTTCCTAGCCTCCACATCAAAAGGCTTGCAACTGTAACCTCAGCCACAGGAGATCCATCATCCTCTGCCAGCCTCCATGGGCACTTACACTCCTGTACACATGTGCACAGAGACCCACATATACACATCAGTAATTCTTTTTTTTTAAAGATTTATTTATTTATTTTATTATGAGTACACTGTAGCTGTCTTCAGACACACCAGAAGAGGGCATCCAATCTCACTATGGATGGCTGTGAGCCACCATGTGGTTGCTGGGATTTGAACTCGGGACCTCTGGAAGAGCAGTCAGTGCTCTTAACCGCTGAGCCATCTCTCCAGCCCAGTAATTCTTTTTTTAAAAGTATTTTTTGTGGTCCAGTGGGATGGTTCAGCAGGTTAAGTTGCTTGCTGCTAGCCCTCATGACCCAGGTTTAATCACCAGAACCCACACAAGGAAGGAGAGAACCTACTACCACAAGTTGTCCTGTGACTACCACCTATCCACCGTGCTGTGCATGTGTCCATGTCTTTGTTAGGGTTACTGTTGCTGGGATGAGACACCATGACCTAAAGCGACTTGGAAAGGGAAGGGTTTATCTCACTCACAGTTCTATGTCATGGTTAATCATCATTGTCGTCATTGTCATTATCAAGGCAGTGCTGGCAGAAAGCTCAAGCAGAACAGGAACCTGGAGGGAAAAATTAATGCAGAGGCCATGGAGTAGTGCTGCTTACTGGCTTGCTCCTTGTGGCTTGCTCAGCCTGCCTTTTTTTTTTTTTTTTTTTAAATAAAACGTAGAGTCAGCCCAGGGCAGGGCCCTCAGTGGGCGGGACCCCATCAATCGCTAATTAAGAAAATGCCCTACAGGCTTGCCTACTTACAGCCGATCGTAGGAAGGCATTTTTTAGTTGCGGTTCCCCAATCTCAGATGACTTCAGCTTGTGTCAAGCTGACATAAAACCAGCCAGGATACAAGACATATGACACAAAGAAGTGAATGAGTGTAAGAAAAGGTGGCTTTGTTAACATGTTAATACATTGCTAATATACATGTAACTATGCTCACTTAGTGTTGGTATAATATGAATTAAACCGAATTAAAAATGTATTATTCCCAGTGTGTGCATGATACCTATATGTAGACACACACACACACACACACACACACACACACAGAGACACCACAGTGTACATATGGAAGCCAAAGGACAAATTTTTGGAGTTGATTCTCTCATCTTTCTGTGGGTTCCAGTGATTGATCTCTGGTCATTCAACAAGTGCCTTTACCCATGGAGCCAGTTTGATGTACTTTAAATTAAATTTTTGAAGTGATTTCTTTTAAAAAAATTTTTTTCAGTTGTATGAGGCTGGGATTATGTATCCAAGTTGAACTTATTTCTGTTCCAGTGTTTTAATTCTTGAAACTTCTTTCAATTTTCTCTTGTTCAAATCAGAAAGATACCAGTTTTCCTTGTCATAGCCCAAAACTTGTTTGATGTCCTTAATCTGGGCTGGCTAGTGCTGCTTGCAGGCTCAGAAGTGGCACAAAGTCTCACTGTCCCCTGACTGAGCTGGACAGGTACTTTTTATGACAGCTAAATGCAAGTTTTGAACTACACTATATGGGCAGATGAATTGGCTAATTAGACTCTTCATCTTTTGCTCTAGAGAGAACGAGAAAAAGCATAAAAGAATTGGTAAACTGTCCATATATGAGTTTTCTCTCTATAATTTACTTATTACTGAATCTTAGCCCTAAATTTTCTTTATAATACTGTATAAAAGATTGTTTTTCGTCTATACTCAACAAAGTGGCAAGTAAATCATTAGTTATTTCTGTGCCGATATGGACTCATAGAATGACACCTCGGTGTTTACACTTGATTAACATTTCTTTCCAGTGGAGATGCCTATATTTCCGTGTGTTTGCTTGTTAGGGATCTAACTATTGCGTGCTAAGGGACTGTCCCACAGAAGTATCATCATTGCTTTGCGTTTAAATTACATTTTTAAAAATTTTGTTTTAAACTCCTCTGTAAGACAGAACCACATAATCTTTCCTGGCTTTCTTTTGTGCTAATTTTGGGGATGTGTATAAGAGAGATAAAGAAGAGATACAGACAAGCCAACAGGGAACCAGCAAACAAAGTGTTACTTGAGCAGTTTACTGGGGGTGACCCACCCCATTTCAATGCTGGGAAAACCAGCTTGAACACAGCACATTAGCTCTCACTACAAAGCAAGCTATATTCAATCACCAACTGCTTTCATTTCCTTTCTTGGTGTCTCTTTCTAAAGTGAAATGTATTCAACTTGATTTCTGATGTTTCTTTTTTCTATTCTCTATTCAAGCCAGTTAGCACTTTATTTGTTGTGAATGGACTTTATTATTGTTATTATTATTGTTGCTTGTTTGGTGGTGGTGGTTGTTGTTGTTAGACTATATGGTAGGACAGGGTTAAGCAGATCTGGATATACACTCTGCTTCTTTGACTTAGATCTCATTTACTTGTGAATTAGCTACTTTCCTATTGCCAGGATAAAACTACACATTCATAACTGGGCAGATGAGTTCAGAGAATTAGAATCCATGAAGACTGAGCTAAGGTAGGGAGGCAGGAACAGCTGAGAGCTCACATCTTTTTTTTTTTAATAATTTATTTTTTCTCAAATCGTAGTTCATTCACACAGGGGTTATAAACACAGAAAGGCAGGATGTGGGGAAGGAAATGACACTGGAGTGTGGGTGATCAGGGGGAATACAGATATCTTTCAGAACCGGGTATCAGCTGGGTGAAGATTCAGGGGACAAGTCACTATGACTCTGCCTGTGACTCGCTTGTCCTTATCGAAGTTGGTATTGCCTGCAAAGGCTACCTTTTTACAAGGTCTATGACTACTCAGGCTGGTAAATTTCCACAAAAGCTGCCTGTTTACATTAGCTTATAGCCATCTGTTTCAATGTTTTTCCACTGAGACTCAAGACTTGGTGTTAGTATACATGTATGTCAGGCCTATTGCTGATTTTAAGCCTATGGCTGAATTTAGGCCTTCAGTGTGTAAGCAGGGTTGCCCCTGACATCTCCTCCCTCCTCTAAGTATAGAAGGGCTGTGGCAATTCTAATCTTGTGAAGGCAGGGATAGAGGCCTGACTTCCAGTACTTGAAGGGGACCTTGTAATGGGAGAGCTCACATCTTAACCCTCAAGCAGGAGGTAGAGAGAACAAACTGAAAATGAGTCTTTTGAAATGTCAAAGTCTGCCCACAGTGACAGACTTCCTTCAACACGGCCATACTTCCTAATCTTTCTGAAACATTTCTACCAATTGGGGCCCAAGTATTCAAACACATGAGCCTGGGAGGTATTTTCATTCAAACCAACACAAACTCTCATTCACAAGTGAGTCTTAAAATTCTACTGATAGCCATATTGCCATGGCAGGATTAGGGTAGAAGTGGAGTTAGTTTGTTTTAATGAATTTCTGTATTAAATGTTTAATAAATTGTCATATTTACTTAATTGTACGGATTTATCATTTCCAAGGAGCCTATGCAGGGTTACAAGTGAGCCAGTACCTAT